TGGGCTTTGTTTTGGGGAGGAAGTCGGAGCACGAAACCTTGCATTTTTCCGTGTAAAGTGGTTGCAGCCGGCGATGAAAGGTACCTCCTGTGTGCGGCGGTTGCGGCTGCGGTCGTCCCAGACGCGAGTTCCTCCTCTGTGTTCTGCAACGGGTGGTTGTGTCTGTGTGCGTAGTTCTATGCGTTTCTTGAATCTGTGGTTGCAGATCGCATTGGAATGGCTGCATGAATGTTGTCATCTGGTGTTGCCATGCGTGTAGAGAGATGCAGGTTTGCTACGGGATGCTGCGAAACGCAATGTAATGGCTGCATGACGTTGCGTTTTTCCGTGTAAAGTGGCTGCAGCCGGCGATGCAAGGTACCTCGTGTGTGCGGCGGTTGCGGCTGCAGTCGTTCCGGACGCGATCGGTTCCTCCTCTGTGTTCTGCAACGAGTGGTTGTGTCTGTGTGCGTAGTTCTATGCGTTTCTTGAATCTGTGGTGGCAGATCGCATTGGAATGGCTGCATGATTGTTGTCATCTGGTGTTGCCATGTGCGTAGATACGTGCAGGTTTGCGACGCGATGCTGCGAAACTTATTGTAATGGCTGCGTCAAGGTTGCTTGGTGCCGCGGCTGCGTGCGTAATACTATTGTTTGCAGCTGAAGATCGTAAATCGTATTGGAGTGGCTGCAGCCAGGCTGCGACAGTGATTTGTCAGCAGATTTTCGCAATTTTGACGCTAGCAATTTTCCTTTTAAAAATCCTTTTAAAAAGTGCTTCACAATCGTCTTTTTTCTGCTTTGGCGTCGAGATCCGGTTGTGAGCTGCAATTTCCGACGCCGTTGCACGTAGTTCTATTGTGTTTTGCAACTCGGTCTCTGCAGATCGCATTGTATTGGCTGCGTCAAGGTTGCTTGGTGCTGCGGCTGCATGCGTAATACTATTGTCTTGTGCAGCTGGATCTCGTGAATCGTATTGGAGTGGCTGCATCAAGGCTGCGAAAGTGATTTGTCAGCAGATTTTCGCAATGTGGGCGGCCGGCGCTAGTAATTTTCATTTTAAAAGTCCTTCTAAAAAGTGTTTCAAAATCATCTTTTTTTCGCTTTGGCGCCGAGATCCGGTTTTGGAGCTGCAATTCCTGTTGTTTCTCTGCGTAAAAACTTTTTCTGTAAAAGCTTGCTGTGTGTAAATGCTTTTGTTTGTAAAAGCTTGCTGTGTTTAAAAGCTTCTCTGTGTGTAAAAGAGTCTGTGTAAAAGTTTCTGTGTGTGTAAATGCTTGCCATGTGTAAAAGCACTGTGTGTAAGCGTTCTGTGTGTAAATGCTTGCTGTGTGTGAAAGCTTGCTCTGTGTAAAAGCTTCTCTGTGTAAAAGCTTGTTGTGTGTAAAAGCTTTTCTGTGTGCAAAAGCTTATCTGTTTAAAAAGCTTGCTGTGTGTGTGTGTGTGTAAGCGCTCGCCATGTGTAAAAGCACTGTGTGCAAGTGTTCTGTGTGTAAACGCTTGCTGTGTGTGAAAGATTTTCTGTGTAAAAGCTTGCTGTGTTTAAAAGCTTCTCTGTGTGTAAAAGAGTCTGTGTAAAAGTTTCTGTGTGTGTGTAAGCGCTTGCCATGTGTAAAAGCACTGTGTGTAAGTGTTCTGTGTGTAAACGCTTGCTGTGTGTGAAAGCTTGCTGTGTGTAAAAGCTTCTCTGTGTAAAAGCTTGCTGTGTGTAAAAGCTTCTCTGCGAAAGAACTTGCTGTGTGTAAAAGCTTTCTTTGCGCAAGACTGTTTAAAAAGTTTGCTGTGTGTAAAAGCTTCTCTGCGAAAGAACTTGCTGTGTGTAAAAGCTTTCTTTGTGCCAACTTTGTATCACAAAGTAGTACTGGGACGTACTTTGTGCAAGGTTTGCAGTACAAAGGAGTACTGGGTAGTGCTCTGCGCAAGCTTCGTAGAACAAATTAGTACTGGGAAATACTTTGCGCAAGCTTTGTAGTGAAAACTAGTACAGGGGAATACTTTGTGCAAGCTTTGTAGTACAAAGTAGTACTGGGAAGTGCTTTGTGCAAGCTTTGTAATACAAAGTAGTACTGGGAAGTATTTTGTGCCAGCTTTCTAGTACAAAGTAGTACTGGGAAGTGGTTCGTGCAAGCTTTGTAGTACAAAGTAGTACTGGAACGTGTTTTGTGCTAGTACTGGGAAATAGTTTGTGCAAGCTTTTGTAGTAAACATTACTACTGAGAAGTAGTTTGCGCAAGCTTCGGAATACAAAGTAGTACTGGGAAGTGCTTTGTGCAAGCTTCGTAGTACAAAGTTGTACTGGGAAGTACTTTTTGCAAGCTGTGTAGTACACAGTAGTACTGGGCAGTAGTTTGTGCAAGCTTTGTAGTACAAAGTAGTGCTGGGACGTAATTTGTGCAAGCTTTGTAGTACAAAGTAGTACTGGGAAGTAGCTTGCGCAAGCTTTGTAGTACAAAGTAGTACTGGGAAGTGCTTTGTGCAAGCTTTGTAGTGCAAAGTATTTTGTAAAGACTCTTCTGTGTAAATGCATCTGTGTCTCAAGCTTTCTGACGTGCAGAAGAGCCGAGATGAGTTCAGACTAGCTTCGGTGAGATGAGAAAGGTTGAGCTGCGCTCAGATGACATGAAAATTGGAAATAGCCAAGAAGAACTTAGCTGACATATGGGAAGACATGAAATGAGATGAGAAAAGCTCAGATGAGATGAGTTGAGACGAAGTGCAAGTGTGAAGCGTGGAGTGTGGGGTATGAAGAGTGCAATGTGAAGTGTGTGGAAAGTGCTTGCTTGACGTTGCATTGCACCGGGGTCGCGCGCGGGTCATGTCCTTGGACAGCAGCAACAACAACAACAACAACAACTGTTTTTGGTCGTGTTTTTGAAGTATGAAGTGTGGAGTGTGAAGCGTGAAGCGTGGAGTGTGAAGGGAGCAGTGAGAAGTGTGAAGTGCGCTGATAATTTTCCTTGAAAAGTCCTTTGGGAAAGTGTTTCAAAGTCGTCTTTCTTCGCTTTGGTGTCGAAATCCGGTTTTGGAGCTGCAATTCCTATTGTCATTACATACAAGAAAGCTTCTCGGTGTAAAACATTTTTTCTGTAAAAGCTTGCTGTGTGTAAAAGCTTCTCTGTGTAAAAGCTTCTGAATGTATAAACGCTTGCCATGTGTAAAAGCACTGTGTGTAAAAGTGTTCTGTGTGTAAACGCTTACTGTGTGTAAAAGCTTGCTGTGTGTAAAAGCTTGTCTGTGTAAAAGCTTGTTGTGTGTAAAAGCTTCTCTATGTGTAAAAGCTTCTCTGTAAAGGCTTCTATTGCACAACTTCCAAGTGGCCGTAGCTTCAATGTCATAAGCAGCCTCCAGCAAAAGTCCCACACACATTGTGTGGCCCCTCCTTGCTGCAAAATGGGTGGCCGGCCAGCCATCACGATCTCTGATGCCCGGGCTTTGCGGCAGCTTAAGTCTATCCTCAAGGTCCATGGCTCAATTCCAAGTTGCAAGTCCTGGCCTTCATGTATCCCCTCTTCGTCACCAAGCTCGCCCTCACTTCCACTGAGAGCAACCAACTCTGTGGGAAGTGAGGGTGTGAAGAGTGCAGTGTGAAGTGTGGGGCGTGAAGAGTGCAATGTGAAGTGTGGAGTGTGAAGTGTGGAGTGTGAAGAAAACAATGAGAAGTGTGAAGTGTGGACTGAGAAGCGTGAAGTGTGAAGTATGAAGTGTGGAGTGTGAAGAAAGCAGTGAGAAGTGTGAAGTGTGGAGTGTGGAGTCTTAAGAGTGCAGTGTGAAGCGAAGTGTGGAGTGCGAAGAGTGCAGTGTGAAGTGTGAAGTGTGGAGTGTGAAGTGTGTAGTGTGGAGTGCGAAGACTGCAGTGAGAAGTGTGAAGTGCGAAGTGGAGCTTCAAATGTGACATGTGAAACAAGACACCAGTTTCGCAGAGTGCAGGCACGCACGGGCTTGGCTGGCGCACGGCGCATGCAAGTTCTATAGATGAGAAAGTTCTTATATATCCCTAAGGCAACTTCCACCCCGCCTCGTGCGGGTACTATATATCTAATGCGTCTTTGTGTGTGTGTCCGTTCCCTTCTGTTGGAGCCAACCTGGCTGGCACCTGGGTTTTGCTTCAGAACCACCCTGTACACATCACATGCCATCATCAGCCAGCGGTTTGGGATCATCATCAGCCAACTGGAAGCGCTTTGCTGCATCCTTGGCCAGTCACCCCAGTGGATTCCAGTGGTGTCATGCCAAGGGTTTCCCAGGGGTCTCGCTGGCCCCGAAACCAGCTTTCTGCTTTTCTCTGCCATGGCGCGTCCAAGTGAGACTGTTGAGGTTGCCAATGCCTGCCAGCAATGCGGTGCTGCTCGGGATCGTCGAGAATCAGGACATGGTCACAGCTAAGCTACGGGAGCACCACATGGAATGGTAAGCAAATCGAACTCAATGATGACCGGCAATTGAAGAAAACCAATTCTTCGACTGAAGAAAACGACGCCACTTTCAAGAAACCCCAAGCTTAAAACAATGACTTGAAAGGTTAGCGATGGCGGGTGATACACGGACAAGCTGGTCAGCTGATGCAAAGGTTCTCTCGGAAAGGATTTCCGAAGAGTTGTGGTTACCTTGTGAAACCTTTCCTGCAACTTGCGTATCTCCAACTGTAGTAGGAGTCAATTGCCAATGGTGCTTAGCAGGGGGTCCTGCATTGAAAAGGCATTTGAGGCATGTGGGGAAGAAAAAGCCTCAAGCTGTCAACTGTTTGAGGGTATTCAATACATTCCCGGAAAACTTCAGCTGGCATTGATTACAATAATTACTATATATTATTAAATGGATTAGATATACAGTTACAGGTGAGAAGGGTCAAGTAGGGTCAATGAAAATCCATACGCGTCCTTGGTCCCTGGCGATGGCATCCTGAAGTTGCGATTTCCCTCCTCTTTGTGCCACTAAATAGATCAAACTTGGGTGCTCCTGAAATAACTTGTGATTTCCGCCCTTCAGTCAGGCCATACGGTGGATTTTGCTTCTCTGCCCCC